TGCACAATTTTTAAGTCTAGGCCTTACTTTTTTCCATGATTCTTTATTTAATTTAATAGCAACAGAGTGCTCTACCTCTCCTGTCATTTTCAGTAGATTTAAAGGAATAAACATCTTCCACAGCTAGTAAATCTCAAAACCTTTATCAACGTATGGGAAATAAATGTTGCCTCAGACACACCCTAGGATGGGATTATAGCTTAAAAATGATAATATTGTGAAATAATCCTTTTATAGGTATTCTTTTTATGAAAAGGCATTCTTACAAAAAAAATTGAGAAAGCTGAATAAGCCTTTATTTCATCAGTAGAAACCAATACTTTAAGTGTTAAAGTTTGTATTTCCACATAATATCAAAACTGATTCATGTCTGTAGTTTGAAATAATTTTTTAATACAAAGACATTAATTTAAACTTTTTCTTATTGTTTAGAAGTAAAGAATGCAGCTAGATCAAGTTACCCAAAATGTTCATATCAATTCAAGAATGCAACTGCTAATGCATTGGTTGGTGCCAAGTCCACTGAAGGAGTCACGGAACCTGTTCCACTTGTTAATAACCGTAAAGGGAGCCTCATCCTACCCAACAACTTATTGAGTTCTATTGAACAAGGAAAATCTACATACTGTAGGTTGCAAAGGGCACTCAGCTTGCCTGTAAAATACCGCTACCACTCCCAAAAGCCTGGGTTGAACCGAGATTTCCGTAGGTAGTCGTGTAGCTGGATGCATAAGGCAATACAGATTGGTTTGTGCATGGTTTTGCAGTTTGTTTTCAATGTGACTATGACATTACTAATGCTCTGTTAAGTGCTTCCAGATGTGGATTTCTCCAGATGTGGTGATTAATAAGTTAATCAATATAGCTAGTCAACTAATGTTTCTGGGTGGTTTGTGCTTTACCTTTCATATGGCTTATTTGCTCTGAAGCATTTACATGCTAGGAAGAATGAGTTTACCAGGTATTCCAGTCCATGAGATGCTCAGTAACATAGATGTTATTTCAAATCCTATCTCTTTGGGGTATGTAAAAACAGTGTCTGAAAGCTGTTCTGCTAGTGACCTGGGAGAGGCAGTGATGGAGACAGATTTATTTAGAAAATAGTAACAAAATAACAATGAAAAAAGTTACGAACTTGTCCACCGTTTCTGAAAGACTTTCCCTTTATTTTGCTTTAAAAATGAAATAAGGATAAAAGTCAAATAATATGTTGTTACAGATGTTCAGTTCCACATTAAAGCTGTAAAAATTACCAGCACATCTTAAATCAATTCATAGAACATTGTTTGGAGATTATGTCATTGAAATAATGAATCCTCTTTACTCAAGAATAAGTAAACATGTTAAAACATCAGTGTAACATTGAATTAAACTCCAGTATAAACTGAAGCATCTGAAACCTCATTAGACTTGCTTGACATTTTTCTAGCACTGAGTCTTCCTGAACTGTAAACCTGTTAGATTCTTTGCCTATTAGACAGCTGAGCACTGGATTATTACAACAGTAGATAATGTGTTATTATACTTAGGGATGCACAAACAAGCTCTTGAATTTTATTAGAACTCAGAAGCTGGAGTTCTGATTCTGTAAAATTCTGTGTCCAGTTCTTGAACTTATTTGAAATTTTCATGAAAGCTGGTGAAAAGTCATCTGCATAACTGTATTTTAATAGAAATCATGCATAAAGACATCAAAATGCTAAAAGCAAGGACTCATTAACAAAAACACTAGCTCAAGCATACAACATCAGAGTTGAGTTGTCATATATCACAGTCCATTTTTGAAATATGGTTGTCTTTCATAAGAATAAGCAAATTTAGGACTCCCTTTTAAATGAATGCAGACACAGGAACCACGAAAGTAAAATGACATTTTATGGCTTACTAAAAATTTTGTTAGATCTATTTCCTTAAATGTGTAGGAAATTGATAAGAGTATCTGAAGGATAATAATTAAATATGCTTATTATCCTACTTAATACTAAGAAGCCACTTGTGAGTTATCATTGCAACACTTTTGGGAACCAAGCCATAAGTAATGGTGTCCATTATATACCATTCGCATATTTCAGGTGCATGGATTCCCTTCCCCCATTCTTACAGAGCTGCATTTCTAATATGCAGCTCCCCCGTAAACTCTGCGCACAGATTTCACATCCAAACAAAATGTTGTTTGGATGTGATATCATTAAGATAGATCACCTTTCATTGCTGCAATGAGAATAAATGGCTTCCTTGCTTAAGCAAGGCATTGCTTTAGCAACAAATTAAGATCTCTCAGAGGCTTTGCTAACAGATATTAACTAATGAGACACATTAACCTTGGACTTTCCAGGCAGTTGGTGACAATAAACATAGTTTGGATATGACAAGCACATATCAAATGAGGGAGCTTATTTGTTGTAGATGCAGTAACAAAAATAATTGCAGACCACTAGGAATCTAGTAGAAATGGTTATTCTGGATGCTTGATACTAGTAAGACTTTGGTATTTAATTGGACAGCAGGGTAGCAATTGGCCGCACTGGAGAACACAAATGTTGGACTATGTAGTACAAAAGATCCTTATTGTACTAACTTGCAGTATTTGTAAGAATCAGACAGGAGTCTTATTAGCTAGCTGAAAACTTGGAAAATTACTCTTTTTTAACAGTGTTTTCTATTGTTAATGGAAATATTTCTGGCTGTAATATCATCTACAGTTGACTTGCGTTAAGATTTTGCACACGATCCTGATGGCTGTATATTTTCCTTAAACTGTTAAAATAGTGTAGCAGTAGACTTTACTTATGACTCAGTACTAAATCTCTTGACAAACATTTGGTAACCCCATGGAATGAGATTAAATTAAGTGAAATTTAGAATTTTTACTACCAAGAGAGTAAAATGTATCAGTTGTAACTGTTTTCTGGAAGGAACATTTTGCATGTTTCTTTGGTCTTTTAAGTAGTGGATTCATCAGATTGGAACTGAATATTTATATCCTAGAAAGGACAAGAGAGAACAGTGTATATCTTGAAAGCAACATATTGTCTGTGTGGAATAACACACAAATAAGTTTTTGATAGGCAAGTTTAAAGCAAGACTAGGCCAAAGGAGTGATTTGCAGAGGGTGTTCTGGTACTTTGTTATAATCAGAAATAGAAAGATAGTACTAAGAAAATAATTCTGTGTGTATTCACTTCTTATTACAAATAGCTAACTACTGAAGTGATTTAGCTTAATCCAAACAAACTGTCACAGAAAGAAAATTTCAATTTGTATATTTTTGAGAATTTCCTATGGGCTTATTTATTTCTTTGACAAACAAAGAATGGTAGTTGACTAATCTTCAGTAAGCATTTCCACTATAGAACGCTGACTTGGGGAAAAAAAAAAAAGTCAGATGTGAAAAAAACAGCTTTGTCTTTGGGGGTGATGCCTGAGAAGAAAAGAAAGTTAAGCTAGTGAAAAAAAAAAAAATTATTAGAGAGCTGTTGCACCACTCTTGGGGCATTTTGGGAGAGGTCAATGGCAATTTTTTGGTTTTGTTTAGTTTAGTTTTTCTTCTGTGGTGTTTTCTTTTGTTTTGATTCCCTTGATGTCTTAGATGATGTCAGATCAGTTAAAAAGTCAGCATATCTGCTTTTTCAGAGCCCAGTCCTTTGGTCTTGACCAGGTAAAATGAAGTGCCATAGCCGACTTGGCCAAACAGACAGACATGATGGCTAGAATACAGTTTGTAATAAAACTGTGTCAGCAAAGGGTTGTAGCAGAAGGATAATGCTAATTTCTTCCCATATAGGCCTAGGGTAGGTTACATATACACAGGTTTTGTTGTTCTTCTTGAGTAGCTTGTTGCAATAAGAATTATTTTCTTTTCCAGCCTCTGCTTGTGCACTGCTAATGTGTCTTAAGCTCTTGTAATATAGCTGCTACTACTACTACTGTCTTTCCTTTTAGCTTTGAAGTAACAGCTTCCTAGGCATCAGTTATATTATATAATATTATATTATAGTACATTTTTTTAGTTAACAATAGAATGAAAAAAGAGGTGTATTTTTCTTTCTTTTTATTTGAATAAATCTGTCTTAGTATGAATTTGAGAAAGCAGGCATAAGAAAATTCCCTTTGATAGCACATGCAAACCTCATGTGCAGATTATCAAGTGTGGTAAAAATCTTGAAGCAGTAAAAATGATGGTTAATTGTTATAGATGAGTTATTAAAAAGCTGCACCTGTTTAAGCAGTATGTATTGTGACATAGGTTATCCAAGAGTAGTTTATGATTGGCAAAACTGTATGTGATTTTACATCTGGATTTGTCATTGCAAATGCACCTCATCTTCGTTAAAAGATTGCATAACACATGCATCCTCTGTTATACAGGTATTGTCTCCCCACTTCCATTCAACCTCATTCTGTTCACTCTTGTTAAAACTCCCTTTTGTGAGAAGGGTAGAGTGATGAGGTCTGACTTGTGCTGGAAATATGTGCACAATGGCAGGCTGCATTCACATTCTCGACTAACTGAATCATTGAACATCAAGGCATTGAATATTTTACATCTCTTCATGAAGACTCTGTTGTTTGGCATGTGAGCAGCAAGAACCAACTGGTGTCTAGTTCATTAGCAAAAGCAGGCTGGCAGCTTTGTCTTTCTTTTTAGTACTTTGTCTTTCTGAGACTATAGCCAAGCACTAATTCTACTTTTCTGTAGTGCAGATTAACTGAAAATAACTCTTAACGAATAACCTGAATGTGGTCCCCTGCTCCTTTGTTTTTGAAGTATGAAACCAGTTTGAACGCCTGTGTTCAAAACTGTGGTATTCTTCCCTGCTTCTCCTTCAAACCAATCTCTTTGACTAACATGTATTTGATTTTTATTATTGTTGGGCCTATGTTAGCAATGAAGTATCAGTGCGTGAATGGAGATAGAGTGTGTGTTCTTTGCTACTTCACTTGAATTTCACATTGCACTTAGAGCAGTACTTAATCTCATGAGTTCCTTATATTTCCAGTTGAAGATGAGCAGCCGTCAACACTATCACCCAAAAAAAAGCAACGAAATGGAGGCATGCGAAATTCACCCAACTCCTCACCCAAACTGATGAGGTAAGACTGTAAGAAACTTGTATCTTCATCTCCTTTCTTCCTTCCTTCCTCTTCTCCTCCCCCCACATCAAAAATAAGGGGAGAGGGATGGAAAAAAAAAGATCGTTAGATCGTTTCTGAAAGGCTGAAGTATTTATTCTGTCAGCTTGTCAGCAGTTAATGATAGAGCTGAAAAAAATTCTGTCATGAAAAACAGTTTGAAAAGCTGTTTGAAAAATACATAGGCTTTAAAGTCTTAGCTGTCACCCTGTCCTGTCCGTGTGTAGTTCTTAAACAGCAGTGGCACTAATGATAGCACTAACCAATCAGGGGAACTCATGTGGTTAGTTTGCCTCAGGCAATTCTCTTTTTGTTGGATTCCCTCTGAGTACTGTTTTCTGTACTTAAGGCCATATGTGAGATGTATCATCACAATCAAAAATGAACCTGAATATTACCTTCCTTTTATCCTGTCGATTGAAATCAAATTTCTGTTAATTGATTTAGACTGATAAAAAAGTCTAATAATCTATGTACTTGCCAAAGCAAAGTTCAAAACTAATGCAGTTTTAGTCAGGCTAAAAGCACATTAATTATGAAATACAGGCATTTTTAAGAGGGTAGTATATACTCTAAAAGTGGGTGACGAAAACATCATCTTGTTAGCGATATTTTACCCCTGTTGCTGTGTATCTATTATTTTATGCCAGTATGCCTTTCTATGATTATGTAGTTTCTTTCCGTAGGACAAACCACCTCTAAGATTTGTTAAAACTAGAAAAGCAACAAGGAATTGGAATCTATTAAAATAATGTAGCATTTGCAAAAGGTGCTTCACCTTTTGCCTGCTTGTCAGACAGAACAGTATCAGAGAGCAGACATGGAGTTTTCTACAAGGAAGGCATTAGCATATCTAAATAGCTAGGCTGGAACCTCAGTCCGTAATTGTATCCAGAACTAAATACCATAGCAGAGATTTTCCACTGCACATATATATGTATATCTATAAATATATACACAGAAAAATGTGAACTTATTTACATATATAAACAGACACATTCATGCAGTTTGGGGTTTGAGTGTATGTATAACTGTAACTGCTCTGTAGTCACACAGGTTAAGTGAAAGAAAAATAATGTGAATATATAGTTCTTTCCATATATAAAATCACTGATGACATTTATTTTGTTCCTTTAACAATTCTGGATGCAGCTAGGTAATATCCTTCTTTGTATTTCAGTCAGTGGACTAGAATTTTCTTTGGCCAGTTATAGAAGCATCCATATTTGTTTATTGTTACTGCAATATAGGGTATATTCAAGGACATAACTTCTAGAAGTCATCTTCATCTCTGTTTAGACTGCAGAACCAAAAGTGAGATTGATTGACAGAGGAAGATGCAACCTGCTGTGGCTTTTTTTTCCTATTGACCATCTATTTCTGTTAAATGTATCATTAAAAGTTTTCTGCCTTCCTGTTAGCTCAACCCTGCCCATATGACACTGATTTACATGCTTGTTTACAGTTTATGAGGAAGAATAAAATGAACATACTGGAAAGCTGCTCATTTTTATGGTGCCAGTTGTCATGCTAGCATCATTTTCAATTTACTTCCCTTTGGACAGTCTTTTTATGTGGTGCTAATAGTTTTAACCACTTAAAGTTTTAAACATGTGGGAGATTCATACACACACACCCGCCAAATCCAAATTTTGGGGAAATAGATATAAAGAGAGGGGAAGAGAGAGAGAGCTGAACACACTGTCCCTGTTTGCTATGTAAAGTATGCCTCATTTCTTTGATCTTGAGTAATAATAATTCTGGGGAGTTATACTGTGTTCATATGCTTCAAAGCTGTGTCAAAGTTTTCCTGCTTAAGGGTACTTCTTTATTCTATTGGCTCTTGGGTACTGAGATGACAGGTCCTCTGTACTAGGTGCAGGCTTTTTCAAGTCATAGCCTTCAGCAAAACATCAAATTACCAAATACAGGGTAACATACTTCTACACAAATGCCTTTCCTGTAGATATATTATACCATATATATTAAATACTTTAGTGTTACACGGTACATTTTATGTGCAATAGAAAGTGATGGTTTGAGGTAGCCTTAGGGGTACTTTTTTCCACAAGCAGAAAAAGCTAGTGTATACCGTATCAAGTATGGTTTTTACAGGAATTTCTGCCCGAAGGCCTTTGTAAATAAGTAATGATCAACAGATTGGCTGTGGGTTTTTGAAAAGCATGCCTGTGTCAGTTTGCATGATGGGGAAAGATTTTCAAAGTAGAGCCTGCTTTCATTGCCTGCTGAAGAGGGACTGAGGGAGAGTAGTCATCCTGAGCCTGAGCTGTCTGCTCAGTAGCACATCAGAATTGCTAAACACAGGCCAAGCAGCGAGTGGAGAACTTGCCTGGCTTCCAAATCCAGACACTGTTTTCTTTTTCTTTTCCCTTGCTGCTAAATTTATTCACCAGCCCTGTGTTCGCACCCTCAGCCTCTCCCCAGACCCAACCTCTTGTCTCTTTGTCTTACCCTTTAATATACACTGACTTAACTTTGGTTCAAGGTGCTAAATAAGACAAAGTGGATTGAATCAGAAGAGAACTCTGTTAAGCTTTGTGTGTAATAGTCAAACTCTTTTCTCCTTTCTGATAAAGAAAGGTGGGCTGTATTATCTGCTATTTTGTATCCTCGTGAATTACCTAAAGTGACAGGTACTTCCTTTCCTGCCCAGAAATCTTTAGTGTATGTCAGGTAAAGAGGTACACAAGAGGTAAATCAGCTAAAACACTGTCATGTCTGTAGCTGATATTTATCCTTGCAATATTTTTCCTAAATTAACTTTAAAAACTCCTTTTCGAAGCCAGCTTCACCCCTGCTTCTCCCACAGAAACATCTGGCTACTTGGTAGATTTTCCTCAGTTATGGGCCTGGATCTAGAGGGGGCCTGAAGGACAAGAAGTCTGGGGCATATAAAGGGCGTGTACTTATTCACATAAGTAATATGCGAAAAGTTCATTTATCAGTTATAATGTGAGTTGTGACTTTGGAATCACTTTCTGAGCAGCCCTGCAGTTAAGATAATGTTGAAAATGCTGCATATTTCCACAGTGGGGGTGCAAATCAGGAAAGAGGGTATTAGCCATAAGATAAAACTTTATGACTTCTGTCATCACCAGAGTAGAAGAGAGGACAGAAGCTGTATCATAAGCATTCCCTGGGACATCACAACAGGAAGTCTGACAGGTGCTTATTTAGACTTGATCAGAAAGAGGGAATTTTTGGGATTTACTCACATGTAAGTAGAAAGCTGTGTTAACACATATGATCCAGATAGATAAATTGAAGACATCTTTTCAGTTTAATCTTTTTGATGTTGTCACTATATGCCAATATATTACTAACTGAAATTAATGGATGGTAGGCATACAAATGTTTGTTGTATACATCACAGATGGTCTAGATTCACATTTAGAAAGTCACTATCCTAACTGAATCCTGCATCACATCAAATAACATGAGCTGAATCACACTGATGCAATAGTGGAAGAATCTATTAGAAATAAATCCTTCAAATTCCAACTACAGCTACAAATACAAATTAACTAGAAAAATACTCTGCATCGTCATGATTACTTCTATCTGGTTTACATCAACAGACGTCTGTCCCATTAAACCCACAAGAATATGGGTATTATTTAAAAATAAACTCCAATAGGAAAAAAACTGGTACATCTGTGGAGATGTGAACACAAGGACATCCTATTACCATAAAAAGTAAAATTTAAATAGGAAGTAGAAGGAAGATGAAGGAAAGCTGTGAGTAGCAGGGTGATCACAAATCAGATCTCCTTCTTCCTTAGACAGAGAAGAAAGGTAGAACTGCCTCTGGTGTTGTGCAGTGATATCAAGTCACCTGTTCATCATCTCACAGTCACAGGGTTTGGTGCATGCTATTGATGAACAGCCACTTTAACTATGAGGAGGCTCTGTTGCCTGAATATCAAATAGCAAAACTAATTTTTGTTTTGTTTTGTTTTGCTTTGTTTTAATGTGTCATTTTGGATTCCAGAATGACCAGTAAACATGTGAAAAGCCCTGGATATGAATCAAAAAGCCACTTAAAAGGATTGTTGCAGGGGCTCAAGTCTGCACTTAATGCTTTGGTAGCTGCTACTGCATGAGTGGAATACACTGACTTGAAGGAAACGTCAGCCCAGCTGAGTCAAACTACCTCTTAATGCAAGAACAAACAGCATATGACAGGGCCCAAGGGGCCTGAAGAGCAAACATAGTTTGTCCCTGTCCACTCTGAATGCAGTGGTGTAGTTGACACAGCATACTCAGCAAAGGGTCATTATCATTAGTGTCCCTGATCACATAAGAATCACAGGCATCAGAGGACGCTGGCTTTTCAGTGTGTTGCCAAGGAGAATTTCATAAGCCTGAGGATTTTTCTTGATCCAGGATCTAAAATAATTCCCAACCAAACCATAAAACTTGCTCAGAGACTGTCAAGACCCAGCTAAGTGACATGAAAAAAAGTGACCATTTTGGCATGTGATTCCAGAAACCTAGTGAGATTTATCTGAAGTTGAGGGGAAACCTCCTGGACTTTTTCCTGAAGTTGGCTATAGTATTTTAGGTATATGAACAATGGCTGTGTACATTATCTCCTCTGCCCACCCAGCTACTTGCATTCGAATGTATACACCATTTCTTCTAGTGCCACTCAGGAGGAATTTGTATTGCCTTGCCATTGTAGTGCTGCCCTTCCATGAGCTGAAACTGAGCTTTCTCATGGGAACCAAAAGAAGTAACGGAAGGTCTATAGGGGAACATTTCTCAAGCAAAATCTGGTAAAATAAGCTGAATCTGATGATTTTCTATGACTCTCTAACCAGGCATGAAGGTAAGGTTTGAAGAAAGCTCACTGATTAATCATAATAATGGTTTATAATTATGTCCCTCAGCCTTGGAGATTTCTATGGCATAGTCTAAAATTTACATCCTTTGTTGAG